AGAGCATGTAGAAGCTTCGTGTTTGATTCTTGTACCATATCCAAAGGGCCATTCGGACCGGTGGTAATCTTGTATCAGATCATCAAATTTCGCTTTTTCGAAGTATCGAGAAGAAACCCAGGTGTTCACATTCACAGACCTTCCAGCCCCAGGGTTCCGTGGCCGAGAAACTTCTTTCTCTAAAGGTACTATAATCGGGGCTGCAATCCCGACAGAACTTGCCAACGGCCGGACCAAGGCATGGTTGATATAGATCAGGACATTTGCCTTACTGGGTTCATCGGCATGAACTGTCATGAACCTGGAAAAGATCGTGGTCATGCATACATGTCCATTGGAAACTATGTCAGCACCATAAGAGTAAACTCCTGCATTGTCACTCTTATGCACTCGGCTTCTCTACAATGTGCTGAGTGACCACCACCACCACCGACCATGGAATAAAAACGTTTCGAACCAATATCAAAACCAAACCAAACCAAACCAAACCGAATACGTTTTAATGCTCTTGAACCGAACCCAATAAATATCAGATCCAAATCCGAAATCCACGCCCTATAAAGAGATGTTTCCTGATTGTGGCAATACACGTTGGTTTAGTTACCATCTCGAAAGCATTAATTCTCCAAGTAAAATCAAAGCAAAGATTCCAATGCAGGACATGTTCGAGAATCCTAAGCCAAAAAAAAGAAGAAGAAAAAAGAGAGATATGGTCGGGAATCTTCACGTGTATTTTAGTTTAAAGCTAGTTTCTATAGACAATAAAAAAAAAAGATTGTTTCTTTTGTGCCGACCAAAAGTCCAAGTACTTTGACCTGAATGAACCAATACAAGAACTGGTCAAGAATCCATTGGCGATCACAGAGATCAAGTCCCAGATGGGTTTCAATTTCAGCTTTTAGATCGTTCACGGAATCAAACTGTATACAAACATATCCTATTTCACAGCTACTACATAACCAAACGGTAAATACATAGATTTTCATTCTCAATCTACAAATACCAAATGAAAAGAAGAAAAAATTCATGTTTTTCTTGCAGAATATTAGCCGCTGTACAGGCGATGATGATGCCATGGAACAATGCAGGAATTGCTTGGGCTGCCCGGGGATGAACGAACTGAGAAAGATAAAGGACCTCCGAGGTACTTATCTGGTTGCAATTATATTTTAGCCTTTTGTCCGCATAATTGTGATGCTTCCCTTTCCTCCTTCAGTGCGGATTTTGGTTTTCCCGACAACGGGTTTCCCCGAGAATGCCGAAGTTTGGTACACTGGAGGGTCTTCTTTATCTTGCTTCGGTTTCGCTGGTGGAGTTCGAATTCTTTGGTTTATGTCCTTGAGAGTAATGTCACCATGAACTCCGCACGGTTTGATGAATGTGAACGGATATACAATGGATGATGGTAGTTTGGAGACGGGTCTTATAAAAGATTTCCTACCTAACAAACATGTAATGTTCGATTAGTAATGGTTTTTTGGCAGTTCAGACAAAAAAACAACAACAATTGATGTAAATTTGATACACGGCGGGAAAACTAAAAACTAAAAACGAAATGTGTATACCTTTAAAGACAACACTTGAAGAAGATCGAGTCACGGGTTGCTGGACTTCATTGGCTTCTGCCTCTACAGACACATTCAAGTACTCTGCAAGTACTAAACAGTTTGTTAGCGAGAAATCACAAGAAGGAAGCAAGAGAACGGGTGAGAAATGAGAAATCTTACCCGAGACATCAATATGGAGATCAGATAACCCAGTGAAGTTCCTGAAAGGTAATATTAAGAAGAAACTGTTTACGTAGCAAAACGGGTAATTAAACCAAAAAGCGAGGAAGAAAAGGATGGAAATATACAAATCATCGGGGATGAATGGTGCCTCGGCATCATTAAAGCATTCAGAGTACCACTCTTCAGAATGGAGATCGAGGCCCTCAAAACTCAAGAGAGAAGCATCTTCTGCATTTTCTTAAACCAAAAAAAAAAAGATACGATTCAAAGGAAAGTAACGCTTGGATTGACATGAAGGAGGGTTGCAAGAGATAGACCTGAAAACCCTTTTGTAAGATGAGCTCCTTCGGGTAAAATCTCATCAATTGGGTCCTCTCTAACCTGAACATGGATAGAAGAACATCAATCAGAACAAGTAAGGCCGACGCATTGCATTCATAATTTCATTTGGAGTTCGGGCAGCCAAAGACAAGTTCGGACTCAGATACCAGAAGGCTAAAAATTTGTCTGATCCTTGAGGTAGAAGAGACAAATCTCTAGAACAAAATGGACTCTCAATGTCCAAATCTTTGAGCTGAACAAGCACTAACTATTTGGCGTGAAATGACAAGCTGAGTCATGGTATAAAATGCAACTTGCACAGCTCGTATTTGAACAAATATCCAACATCAGTACAAATAATACGAATAACTGATGGCGGAAAACAATGCATCTGATGGGAAGATAGCAGGAGAAAAATTAAAAGAAAAAAAGGCAACCCTGCATCCTAATAAGCGCAAAGTGGGTATAAACTGAAATTCCAACATTAAAAAAAAACTTAATGTCGTGTTTTCAGGCCTTTGGTGCATAGCTGAGTACGAGAAATAGCCAGCGGGTTTTGTGCAACTCACATTTTCTCTAAGGATTGCAGATAAATTTTCTCCACTGAAACACGAGGATTCTGAGGGTTGGTCTTCGAATTGTAACATCCGACGCCTCTTGAGAACAGATCGTGCCTCACTCTGCTCTTTAAGAGTCTTGTCCGTGCCACCTGAAGCCCCACACTCAAGATTAGAAACCGTCTTGAACATAACTTAGGAACTGAAGTGACAACTTTCAGACAAAGTACAAACCTGTGGTCATATGGTAAGCCAACTCCTCACATGCCTTAACAGGGGTGGTTTCATCATCGAACATATACGAGTGATCTTCTTGGTTCAATGCGACATCAGTCATCGCGCACTCTGTCACATCGGCTGGAATCAAAGGTTTGATCAATTTTACAAAGATCATGAAATTGAACAGAGTTGCACCTAATCTATTTAACACACTTACCGTAATTGGACTCCTTCTGCTGATTGTGGACCTGCTCTTTCCAATTCCAGGAGGGACCTCTGCAATTTTTCGAAGCATCATAAGTTCAAAACCCCAACTACATTACATTTATGCAGACTGGGTGATAAAGTGGAAGCATCACATCACATGTTTATTCAATAAGCTTCAGACACACTGAACATCATCATGGCATAACATCGTATTCCACTACCAGAAGCTCAAACACACACCACTGACCATCCCTTCAGTGGAATTGCCATATCCAAATGCCATACGTTGAGCATGATAGCTATAGATTTCGGATAGCATGAAGATATCAATGCAGGGTATTGAGCATCAACATGGTAGCATCAGAGACCCACCATCAGAGTAAGAACTCACATCCTAGTTTACAACTTGTAAGAGCGAACCCGACATTATCCAACAGGAAAACTTTAAAAAATTATGCAACACAGCCAAGCACTTGGCACTAAACCCAGGAAGCAGCGAATAAAACCCTTGACCCAAAATCAGCATCGAGCCGTAAATGGAAGCAAATTAAACAAAATCATAACATTTGAAAATAAACCCAGACAACAGAGCAACTCAAATTAGACCAATGTAACCCTATTATGTCAGAAACCAGACAAAATCTAGAAATCGAAGAATACCCAAACGAGGAATCATCGATATGTATCATCATCGAACCAACCCAACAGTCCAATGCAAGAGCACAGGTGTTCGACAAAAACCCATCAACGCAGAACAACAGTGGAGCCAGATCAACACGAATAGCCAAACAAAAAAAACGAAGAGATTCTACCGATCGTTCTCGTAATTCATCACTTCTTCCACTCTCTGATATTCCTCGCTTCACGCCCGTCGCACCAAGCTGCCGTTGCCCAGAAAAAAAAAACACCCAAAATGAAAAAAAAAAAATCAGCAACTGGAGCACAAATACGAAGAAAACACGTACAAGTTAGATCGGATTCTACACATATTCAGAGTAGCTCACTGACCCTTGTTGCTCGAGATAAGGGCTTTTACTTCATCAACAAAAAAAAAAAAAGCACAAGCGGCGTCTCTCTCCCACAATGCGATATATTTATCTCCGTATATATTTATGAGGAGAGAGAGAGAGAGAGAGGTGACAATTCAGTTTGTTCTCTCTCTCTACAGAAAAAGAAGAGACCAGTGCAGGGCACGCTTTCTTCGTCCTGCATCCTCTTTTTTCGCGAATTTCTCTTATTTGTATTATTTTTCTTTCCTCCTAATTTAATTGTAACCAAAATTTTTTGAAATCCAATTAAACCAAAGCTAATTTAAAAAAAAAAAAACTCAAAAAACTATTTTTTTAAAAAAAAGTAATAAAAACCAGAACCAAACTTAATCGAATCGATATCGTACACTGTTTTCGATGATATCAAAATATTTTTTTTTGGTGATGTGAAAGTTCACCGTCTTCGCCTCAACTGCATCTTCCAAATGAATGGGCAGTGTTGAAATAGGAAGAAAATATGGAGATTTGATATGATTGATAATAATTAAAGGCATTATATCAATTAAGAATAAAATATATATCGTATCAATTATAATTTGCCTTATTTATTTTTTTCGTATCTTTATTTCTTTGTTTCTTTCCATAGCTTTTCCTATAAATGTATGGATTATTTTCATTGTAATGTAAGAAGAAAGAAGAGATGTAGCAATAAAAGTATTCCCGTTCTTTTCTTTTTTGTTCTTTCTTTCTAATTTAATTTCCGCATTTTATTTTTCAATAGTAAACTCAGAGATCGAATAGCCGACGTGAAAACGTATCGGCTAACACACCAACCACTCGTCCACGTTACCTTGGGTAAATTAATACCGAAATATTCATCCTCACTGTAATAGAAAAAAATGTGTAAAAAAAATAGGTTTGTTAATTAAGTTTTTTTATATTACTTCAGATTATTTATTTATTTCATTCTTTTACTCACTTTCAATTCCTTACAACATTTTTTTTTTCTATTTTCTCTCTATTCATTAATCTTTCGAAAGAACGTAAATCTTGGTGCTCTCGTTATCACGACCAACCTTTGTCACCATCTCATGGTAATTTTTCCCTCCGTAACTATTTTTTTTATCTTTTTTGGTAAATAAACAAAAAGATAAAAACGACGGAATCTAAAGAAACTAATAACGTCGAAATCTAGTGATCATCACCGTCAACATTATTAATATTCGTCGACATTACCAATATAAAAAAAAAGTAAGAAATAAATAATAAATATCATTATTTCATATAAACAAAAAATAAAATAAAATACCATTCTTCCCTACATGCGGCAGATCATATTAGTGGTGCGGAAAATCAGTCGAGCCATAAACACTGTATCTGTATTACCAGTTGTAAATTAGGATAAGAAGAAATTTTTCTGATTTTAAAATTAGTAATTTAAAAAAAATAAATAAAAATATAAGGATATTAAGGTAATCCGAATGAAAAATAACTATAGATTGCAAATTTTTAAAAACACATGTTACAAAGAGTTTTAAATTATATTATTTAGTTAGATTTTTTTTACACCAAATTTATTTAAATTAAATTAAATTTAGACTCGATATTTTGATTTGATGTTGTTTATGTAAGACGAAATCTATACAGGCTTCTTTTATGTGAACCAATTTATTGACGTTTTAAAATAGTAAAAAAAATATTATATAATTCTAACTAAAAAAGGATGTCTGTACTTTGTAGAGTCGTATAGATCACATGTAATACAAAATCACAGTCTTGGGTCTATTATTATTTACTATTGATTGAATAAATTTTAAAAAATACATGCAAGATTTATATAATTGTCAAATATATTATTATATTTTTTTTGTTTATTTTTTTTTATAAATCTGAAACTTTCTATTAAAATTGTATAATGTATTTTAGTTTTCAATTTTAAAAATTCATAACTTATAGTTTAGAGTTCTACTAACGACAATTTTTTTATTGTCTTTTGATATTTTATTATTTTAGACAATTTTTTTATAAATTATAAGAAAAACACTGTTGGGTATTTTTTTTTACTCTGCCTCCCATTTTCTGACTTTTCTCGACCGTTGCGTCGCGCGCTTTTTCCTAGGATTGGTTTTGGCGCGTGTGTGCACTTTCTTATCCACGCGTGGTTTTCCTTTTTCATTTTTTATTGTTCTTTTTTGGTGTAATTTGTTTTCTTTATTTTAAGGTAATAAGAGAAAATCCGTCCTAATTTATTGTGGTGGTTACGTTTTTCGGCAGGTCAATTTAATTGGGACTCAAACATTCTTTTAAATTTTAAAAAAGCCTCATATTTTTTGGATATTGAATTTTGATTTTTATTTTTTATTTCACTTTTTTAAAAAAATTTGTCAGATTTTTAATATTTTTATTGTTTATTTTAAATAAAGTTATATGTAATCGGTTATTTAACCGAGATTGAGAAACCGAAATCTCACATTGGCCATTCTCACAAAAGTAATACACGTATTTATAGAAAAGGTTGGGAATCCATCAATTCCACCCCTAATTAATATAATTTATAATTTTATAGGACGAAAATATCATTTACCGTATCCTTTTAATTACAACTTAAAATCCGTCTATCACATTGGAGATCCCCTATTATTATTATCACAAATTGAATGTCATATGTGATAAATATTGAATTCTAAGCATTTTAATTATTATATTTTTTAGATTAAATATTTTATTTAGGTTATTTGTAAAATGTAAAAAAAAAATATAAAGTATGTCAAAACAAATTAGATCTTAGCAGATTATACCTTTGAATATTCTTGGATTTTTTAGTTTAGAAAAACTATATCCATTTGATTTTTATTTCATATATTTCCATTTAGATTTTACTTGAATTCGATATTGATTTAATTTTTATTAACAAATTAATTTTTAAACAAATTAACTTTCAGATTATTTTTGTATTAATTTAAATTTACTAAGAAATAGATTTTTAAAATTTTACAAAAAATATAAATTCACTTTTATTTTATATCGAATTTAATTATATATTATTTAGTTCATTTTTCACCGAACCAAACGATTTCTAAATACTTCGATTTCTTTGAAGCGTCATACATTGTGACTTGTGAGATCTTAGTTGACCGGGTTAGTCATGTGAACCGATTAATAATGTTGTATAAACCGGTTGGTACGCTCTTACGTACCGAACCGGACTGGACTCTCTCGGCGAAATAACGGCCGCGAGATAAAAAGCCTTCTCTCTTTCCGGTTCTTTCTTCGGTTGACCTCTCCTCATCGTTTTCCTTCCACCCTCAGGTCTACCCCACGACCGACTCAAAATCTCAGGAATCCGGACAAAAACCTCGGAATTTGCTTATACGAGTGTCGGATTAGGGCTTTATCGCCGGTGAAGAAACAGAGGAGGCAAGAAAATGAACGTTTTCAGGTTCGCCGGTGACATGACCCACCTGGCGAGCGTTCTCGTTCTGCTCCTAAAGATCCACACTATCAAATCCTGTGCTGGTTAGTACTGCTTCTTGTGTTTATGCTCTTTGATTCGGTAAAGTCTCGGTATTTGTTTTGTTAACATGAAATTGTTGCGTCTTGGTGAATTGGGGTCCGCGAAATTGTCCTGATCTATGGGTATTTGGTCGTTTCTTATCGAAATTTCGACTGGTCCGATGAATTATCGTGTTGGGTATTAGGGTTCTTGCTTAATCCTGCTAGGTTTGTTCCGAGATGCTTGTTTCAGTGGATTATCATGACATTAGCAAGAAATGGTAGGTATATCTATCGGATTCCTGGATGAAGGCAATGTTCATACTGAAAGAAATAGGTTTCAATGTTTGTACTGAATCATCATAAGCTACCATGAAGACAGTGATTCAAATCTGCAATCGTTGAAACAGCTTGTCTCGTTGCTTAGGCTTTCAGCTTTTGATATGACATATGCTTTCATGGATTCTCTGCTTAGATGCTCGTTTGGGTTGGTGAGTTCAATGCTGCTTGTTGGTAATAGTTCACACCTTGTGTACAGACAGAGGATTTTGTGAGTTTGTTATATATATGTGTATTGTGGTGTTGAAGATGTTTCTTCTGTCTTGGCAGATTCAGAAATTAGAGCGTTTTGACATTCTTATAATGTTTGCAGGCATCTCATTGAAGACTCAAGAGCTATACACTCTTGTCTTTATCGCTCGTTACATGGACATGTTCACTCACTACATATCTTTATACAATACCGTCATGAAGTTGATTTTCTTGGGGAGTTCGTTTTCGATAGTTTGGTACATGAAGTACCATAAGGTTGTGAGGAGGTCATACGATAAAGACCAAGACACGTTCCGACATTACTTCCTTGTTTTGCCTTGCTTAATCTTGGCTCTTCTTATAAATGAGAAGTTCACATTCAGAGAGGTTAGTTTTTTCTCTCTTCCTTTGCTTTCATTGCTTCATTCTCCTTTTTTTCATTTGTTAATTCTTTTGTCCCGTTTTTTTTTTTTTTTTTTTTTTTTATTTTTTGTTATGCAAGGTCATGTGGACATTTTCGTTGTACTTGGAGGCCGTTGCCATACTTCCTCAGCTGGTGCTATTACAACGGACTAGAAACATCGACAACTTAACCGGGCAATATGTGTTTCTTCTCGGGTATGTTCTTATCAATTCCACCTTCTATCCAGTGTTCATCTGCAGAGATATTGATGACATGTTTATGCACCTTCTGTGGTACACAGAATTAGAACATTCATAGAATGAGGAAATTGGTCTCTCCTTTAGCTGTTGAAGCAAATAAAGAGACCACTCACCTTCTCAAATCATGTCATTTATTTCAAAACAGGGCTTACCGGGCATTATACATACTCAACTGGATCTTTTCGTTGTACTTGGAGGCCGTTGCCATACTTCCTCAGCTGGTGCTATTACAACGGACTAGAAACATCGACAACTTAACCGGGCAATATGTGTTTCTTCTCGGGTATGTTCTTATCAATTCCACCTTCTATCCAGTGTTCATCTGCAGAGATATTGATGACATGTTTATGCACCTTCTGTGGTACACAGAATTAGAACATTCATAGAATGAGGAAATTGGTCTCTCCTTTAGCTGTTGAAGCAAATAAAGAGACCACTCACCTTCTCAAATCATGTCATTTATTTCAAAACAGGGCTTACCGGGCATTATACATACTCAACTGGATCTATCGCTACTTCACCGAGCCACACTTTGTCCACTGGATACGTACGTCCTCTTTGTTTTTTCCCGTATATCTCTATTCTTTATATCGTTGGATCTATACACGATTTTCTCTTGCTTGTTCTTGAATTGGAAACTTTGCTATAGGGGCGTTTAATTTTTTTCTTTCTTGGAACATGATCTTTGCAGCTTGGATCGCCGGGCTTGTTCAAACTTTGCTGTATGCCGACTTTTTCTATTATTATTTCCAAAGGTAAACCCGCTACTAACCCTTAGGTTTCTCAATTCTCATCTTCTTATTTAAGTAAATCTCTCTCTCTCCCTCCTTTCTCTCAGCTGGAAGAACAACAAGAAGCTCGAGTTGCCAGCTTAGCTATCGCCACAAGCCAAGAATCAGCAGAACACATGAAAAAGAATGGACACCATAGTACAAAGACAATCAAGAAATCCATAGGTGGAGATGTCGGAATCTGTTTTTTGTTTTGTCTTTTTTTCTGTAACCCATTAACAGTTTTCCTTGAATCTTTTCTCAAATCTTAATGCAGCCAGATACAGTTCGGGCACCCTTCAGATGGAAATATGGCTAAAAGAAAAATGCCATAACTAAACAAACATCTCGGAATGAATCTACCCTCTTAGCATAATATCATATTAGGCGTAGATTTGAAAAGTTTACAAATAAATTTGGATTAAGGCGATCTTATCGATGAAGCAATTGAATAAATCTCAGCTTTTATCTTTCAATGTCGGCCCAATGGTAAATTTTATAATGGGTTCTTAAGGCCCAGTTTTAAGAGAGGTCCGCTCGAGAAATCAGTCGTCATCGTGTAGGCGACTAAACGTCAGTCTCCACCGGAGTTTATCGATCGACTCGAATGGCGGATCTTCGGGTGCCCGACGCGGTAATACACGAAAGTTAGCTTCATAACTGATCTAGATGGCCAGATTTTCACCTGGGTCGCTTCCGGTGCTTGTTTTGTTTTTTTCTCGGATATTTCTGGTCCCAATCGCACTTGGGTCGGCAGATGTTGAAGAATTCAGCGAGGAATTGCTGTTGAAGCCTTTGTCTGATCGGAAAGTGTTAGCTCACTTCCATTTCGAGAGCCAAGCTCCTCCATCGAATTCACATGGCCGCCATCACCATCTCTTCCCGAAAGCTATTTCTCAGCTGGTAAGCCACATTTGTTTCCCGAGAGAGAGTTTGTGTTAGGCTTAGAAAAGCAGCGAGAAAGTTTCTTGTTTCTTTCTCTGTTTTGCTTTGTTCTTTGCCGGATCTTTTGCATTATCAGAAAAAAGGAAAGATGTGATATTTGAATCTTGAGCGAGTTTTAGGCTCTTCACAGAAAAGGGTTTATGATAGATTTGTTTCGATTTCGACAATAGATTTGGTTCTAATGTCGGCTTGACGTCTCCAGCATGAACATGTTATCCTAGATTCTTTGAATATTTCATTCTCTGTTATGTGAGATGGTAGAAAAACCAACGTGGTTTCGAAATCTTTACAGGTTCAGAAATTTCGAGTCAAAGAGATGGAGCTATCTTTCACTCAGGGTCGTTGGAACTATGAACGATGGGGCGGATTTGACCCGTTGTCAAGCATGAATACAAAGCCTGTCGGGGTCGAGCTGTGGGCTATGTTTGATGTTCCTCTGTCTGAGGTTGATGCTTCCTGGAAGAACTTGACTCATTCACTTTCAGGGCTTTTCTGTGCTTCGATCAACTTTCTTGAATCTTCCACTTCATACGCATCCCCGACATGGGGGTTCAGACCAAACTCCGACAAGCTGAGGTATGGTTCGCTGCCATGTGAAGCTGTCTGTACCGAGAATTTGACCCCTTGGTTGAAGTTGCTTCCTTGTAGAGACAAGGACGGAATTTCTGCGTTAATGGATAGGCCATCAATCTACAGAGGGTTCTATCATTCTCAGAGATTGCATTTGTTCACGGTTGATTCTGGACAAGAGGGATTGGATTCCGGCATTGTGCTTGAGCAGACACTTACTGTTGTTCTTCGCCCTGATAGTGGTTCTAGCAAAAAACAAATACAGCCTAGCTGGACCCTGAGCTCTCTTTTCGGTAGGAAAATTTTCGGAAGTTGCGTTCTTGCAAAGTCGAGTAACGTGTATCTTCAGTTGGAGGGTCTTCCAGTTCATGAACTGAAGAGTGTAGATCAAGAACTAGAAACAAATGGGCTCTGGAAGAATGCAGGTTTCGAATTGTCTATTGAGCCAGACAGGGTTCTTCAAGAAACTAACAGCTTTCTATTTGAGTTTGACATTGGCGAATACAATGACAGTAAGCCATTTGATCTTGGCCTTACTTGGAAGCTTCCATTGAAATGGTCTTGTGGACAAGCTCCATTACATGCTAGTCGGTTCTTGATGGGAAGCGGGAATGAAAGGGGTGCAATAGCAATCTCATTGAAATTGACGGAAACATATGAGAAGTTTTCGGGTGGAGATCTCGGTGATGGTCCATGCACACTGCAGGCTAACATTTTCCAAGTTTTCCCATGGTATATTAAGGTTTACTACCATACTCTGCAAGTATTCATGGACCAACAGCAAAGAACAGTCAGCGAAGTCGTAAAGAATATCACTGTTTCACCTTCGACGGATAAAACGTCGCCTGGAGTGATGGAGATGATGCTGGAACTACCATGTAGGATGAAATCTGCTGCATTGTCGCTAGAATTTGATAAGGTAATCTCATTTTCTTCATACGGTTCATTGTTTGCTTCTTTCAGGATATATGATAAGGGGGTATTTGGTATAATTTGAACAGCGTTTGGCTAGAATACCATCTACTTTTCTGATTTCTTTCTGAATATTGCTGAACAGGGTTTCCTCCACATTGATGAATATCCTCCTGATGCTAACCAAGGATTCGACATTCCCTCTGCTTTGATAAGCTTTCCGAACCATCATGCACGATTAGTATTCCATGAAGAAACAAGCAACTCGCCTTTGCTATCAAAATTGAAGGTAGATACCCGATATAACCATGGAAAGATTTGAGCTCTCTCTCCCCGTGGTGTAGTTCGATGGATTTCTGGATATGTGTGCAGGAAAAATCGCCAGTCCGATCTTACACGGAAATCTTGCTCGTGCCTTTGACAACCCCTGATTTCAGCATGCCTTACAACGTAATCACGATCACATGCACGGTGTTTGCATTGTATTTTGGATCACTGCTCAATGTTCTTCGCAGACGCGTTGGTGAAGAAGAAAGGCTACTCAAAAGCAAAGGTAGTTCCATAGAAGCTCTTAGTTTGGCTTCAAGAACTTATTTGGGGCCTCAAATCTTTAGTTTGATTCCGATACCACCCTTGATGTTTGTTTGTTTCTCCAGCAGGCAACAAACAGGGTAAGCTTCTGCAGTTGTTGTCAAGAATTTCAGCCAAGATTCGAGGAAGACCAGTCGAATCATCATCATCTGAAGCTTCTTCATCTGTAATGTCTTCTAATTTTCTCCTCAAAGTCATGTTAGTCGCCGGAATTGCTGCGACATGGCAATATTTTTCCACTTACATGTAGGTTTTGGAGAGGCACTGCCGCTCGTTGTACCATACAATACACACGTAACAACAGATTTTTCCATTGGTTCATTCAAATTCTTCAGACAAAAACTGTACAGAGGCTTCTCTTTTGGTTCGTATTCTCTTACAAGATGCAGAAGCAAACAGCTCGTCATCGCTTGCCCGTTTGAGACCGCCATTGATGAAACTGCATTTCTTCAAGGGCTTGAACGATCCACCGCTAGAAACTCCGGTCAGTGTTTCTGCAACATCTTCACACCGCCAATCTGTGGAACGGGCAAAATCCGGTATCATGAGTTAACAACATTGTCAGAGGAAAACGTTCAAAGGGTGTATCAGAGGAAAACGTTCAAACGCGCATCACCTGAGTTGGGATCGATGTTGAGTTTTGATTTCTTGAGCGAATTATCTCTGTCTTCAGGCAGCTGTTTTCGCTTGAAGCCGAGACCATTAAGCCGAGACAAGGTAGCTGCTTCTCCTTCAATGCTAGATTAGTTCAGAGGCAAACCGAAACATTCGGGTATTCAGACAGCATTGGAGAACAGAGTTCTTGAGTACCTGAACTGTGATCTTTTTTCAACTTCTTGCTTCTGAATAAACCAACATCATTGCCGGGAAGATGAAAACGTGGTCCTGGAAAAAGTTACGGGATCAGAAATAGGATATAAAGGGTTTCTTTCCTTCCATGCTCTTAGATCTTCCTATGAAAGTTTCAGTCAATGAAACAAACCCAGAGAGCAAAAGATTCTAAACTCCTCCAACTTCTCTTTCCAAACCACGAAATTTTCACTCTCCGTGTGTTACTTTCCATGCGGTTTCTCGGTAAACAAACAGAGAATCAGCGGCTTATCCGACCAGAACTACGGGAACCCAGAAAAAAACCAAAGGTTCTCTAGCAAAATCTACAACTATAAACCCTAAACCCAGACAGAATCTCCCAAATTCCTTCTCTTCTCTACACTTTCTCGGCAGCCAAACAGAAAAGAAAAAAACCCCAAGCTCTTCATCACCGTTGAGAAAAAAATAAAGAAACTTACTTTTGGCGCCGACTTTAGAGAGCTTGCCATCGACGATGAGAGCATCGCCGTCGTCTTTTCCGGTGGACAAACCCTTAGCGGAGAAGAAGGCAAGCAGAGACCGCCACGTCACGCAAGATGCGTCGAGATCGTTCCCTCTGCTAATGAAGTGACCGTTGAGCTTGACCGTCGATGGCTCGAGCCCGAAAGCTGCAGCGATCGAGCCAAAGTCAAGTCTCTGCTCGTTCGACGCGACCCAATCGATCATCTTCTTCACCGATGGACAGAACAGTCTAATCTTTCTCAGACACTCCTCTCCCGCCATCTCTCTCTCTCGATGTGTCTGTACTTCGAGAGCTCTCCGACAGGAGATGATACTTTGCTTTGGTAAACCTTTCTCTAGAATTGTCTGAAAGGTTTTCTCCTCTTTTCTCCAACGGTTCCCAGATGGAAGGACCCTCTTAGTGAGATGGAGGTTTTGCTGTGAGGAAAGCCTCCGACAGAGGTGGAGGTTTCCTAACAGAGCTTTTAAAATCCGAAAAAATCGAATAAATATAATTTAAAACACAGTTCAAAATAAATAAATCAAATATAATCGAGACCCAAAAATATATATCCATAAGTAGGCGTATATCTATATGTGTGCTACACATAACCTATGAATAATATAAATAAAAATATATATATATTCTGTCAAGAAAATCTTTAACGCTTGAGGCTAAGTTCGGCCTGGGAAATATAAGATTTTTATTTTATCGAAAACGTGCAAGTGAAATGAAATCTCTTCATCTTCCATCTGTACGCCTATAAATGCATGCATATTAACTATATATATATATATACATATATAATTATATACATCGCTACACGAGACAAGAGAGATAGGGATGTCAAACGCCGGGTCCGCTGCTCGCCGCGGCGTTGAGGCGGACAAGAAACCGGCGGGGTCGACAGTTCCCAAAAATATATATCCATAAGTAGGCGTATATCTATATGTGTGCTACACATAACCTATGAATAATATAAATAAAAATATATATATATTCTGTCAAGAAAATCTTTAACGCTTGAGGCTAAGTTCGGCCTGGGAAATATAAGATTTTTATTTTATCGAAAACGTGCAAGTGAAATGAAATCTCTTCATCTTCCATCTGTACGCCTATAAATGCATGCATATTAACTATATATATATATATACATATATAATTATATACATCGCTACACGAGACAAGAGAGATAGGGATGTCAAACGCCGGGTCCGCTGCTCGCCGCGGCGTTGAGGCGGACAAGAAACCGGCGGTTGCGTCGCCGCCGCCGTCGTCGTCGTCACATATTATCCTAAAAGTGTTGGGTCAGCAGGTAATTTTTTTTTTGCCTTTCTTATTTTTTTTTATCATTTTTTTTTCTATTTTATTTTCCAGTGTTGAATCCGAAATTCAAAGAGAATTGATTGATGAGTCGTGGGGTTTGGTTTGAGAGCAACTACGCTCCTCATCATGTTATGGTGACAAAGAGATGGTCAAAATTACTTCGATCCACCGTTATGGTATGCGTAGTCAAAATACTTGTAAAAAATATGATTTAAATTTAAAAAAAAAATTAAACTGTGCATATTTGTTGTAATAAATTTTAAAAAAATTATGCCTTTTTACATCCTATTTTGTGTGCTCTAGCGTTATTATCGAATTTATTTCAGGGTCACATTGGTCGCACCGTTTAAATTATATGACTGCTATGATCATCATGAATTGGTTACGCAAAAATAGGTTAGAAAGGGTCTGGTTTAAAATTCATGTAACAAAAAATAGGGTAGTTTTGATATTATGTCCGTCACTTAACCATTTTTTAACCAAACATTGTTCATGTTGTGTTTGGAACAGGATGGGAGGGTGTTGAGCTTCCGGATCAAACGGAGTCTTAAGATGCGGACCTTAATGCAAGCTTACTCCGACCGGCTTAAGGTCGATGCGAACACTTTCGTTTTCTTGTATGACGGCGTTAAGCTTTCACCTGACGACACCCCGGACGAGGTACATCTGTCATGGCCGCTGGGTTTATTAGCTCTGCAATTTTTTTTTTTTTTTTTGTATTTGGTATCGTGTACCAAAATCTAGACTAATCTCAAAATATCGGAGAAACGCCCCTCCCCAGATTTGAAAGTCCAAACTCGGGAGGAAACAGAGGTTAAGAGTCCTGTTTTAGCGGTTGAACTACACTAACTCGAGCTAACATGGTTCAAAAATCTTATGAGTTCTTGATGCGTAGAGCGTTATATAAGTCTTGTTTGGTTGTGTGTGGCAGCTTAAGCTTGAGGATGGAGCTGAAATCGATGCAATGTTGCACCAAGACGGCGGGTTCTTCCACTGTGCTTTCATGTAATCTGGGCTGATGTGTTAATTGGTGTTTTGAGTCTGCAGTTTCCTTTAGTTCCCTTGTAGTTTTTGACTTTCTTTTCTTAAATGGTATTTTTCATTTTAAAATTGCAATCTGTGTTCATCAACTGGGATTTCTTCATTCCCAAGAAAGGAACAGAACTGCTGCAGTCTTTTCCAAGCAAAATCTTAAGGGGGAAAAAAGCTCCCTCGGAGTTGGAACAGCGGTTTGTGTCTGAACAAGTTTGCATCCCAAGGAAGTTTTGGACTTTCGTGTGGGTAACAGCAAGAAGATACTTCGCTTCTTCCCCAAGAAAGCGGGAGAGAAAAGATTGTGGTAACTTGGAGATCAAAAGAAGGGAACAAGATGAAGGTGCTAGGGGTTTCTGGTTCTGGAATCCTTTCTAAGATTCAACCCTTCAAGAATGGACAACCTGTGTCTATACACAGCACCAAACGTACGTTGCCGGGCTTCTCTCCAGTTCGCTCCTGGCTTCAAAGTTTGCCACTTTTTGTCCTGATCCTTACATTTTGGCCCCTAGAAGTCTCTTATACTTTTCCAAAACATGCAAGCTGTACCTGGTAATCGACTTTTCGAATGAAACTGTTGGTCTGCTTTCCCTCCGTTTGAGTAGACATCGTCTGTGCATTAGATTCAAGCAGAAAAGTTCTGCTCTCTGTGTTTTTTCTTGCACAGAAACAGCGGTTGTGGAGGTTAATCTCGGATTGCTCAAGGAGCTTGAAGGTTTCGGGTTCCCGAGGGCTCGAGCAGCATGGGCACTGCATTACTCTGGTGAATGAATACCCGATAAGTTTCATTACCAGTCACAGATCAGCCATGTTCTTGCATCACGACAGAAATCTGTTTTTTTCCTTTAATCTTCAGGTAACACCAGCGTCGAGTCTGCTGTGAATTGGATAGTTGATCATGAGAGTGACTCGCAATTCGACGACATGCCACTGGTCCGTATTAATTTGATCTCTCTCTGCCCATCTTTGTTGCCCTTTGGATCCTTCGAGTTCAAAGTTAGAAACCTGAGAGTTCTTCCTGAGGTTGTTGTCTGAATTTTGTATGTTCTGTTACAGATGGAGTTTAACATCGAGATCGAGTCTTCAAGTCCATCCGATGACACCATGGAAGCCAAGCAAGCAAGAGTCAAGGAACTCAGGTTAATCTCTTGTTAATCCTAATGGTGATTCAAGGAAATTCTCGTTTACCAGTAACCGAGAGAGGCTTATTCCCGATACTGAATCCATTTTCAGAGAACAAGCTAGCAAGAAAAGAGAAGAAGAGGAGAGAAAACGCGGGAAAGAAAGGGAAAAGGTAAGGAGGAGGAATCTTGATTCTTATCACTCAGAGAAAATGTAAGAGCTTCGATTTGGTTGCAGGAAAGGATAAGAGCGGGTAAAGAGCTTTCGGAAGCTAAGCGAGTTGCTGAGGAGAACGAAAGAAAACGGTATGATAGATTCAAGCTCTGAAATCTCGTTATATATCCATCGATGGCCCTTTTACCTCCGCCACCTTACTGTGTGATTTATCGATCAAATCAGAAATATAGCGTTGAGGAAAGCCGAGAAAGATGAAGAGAAGAGAGCACGAGAGAGGGTTCTTCAGAAACTTGAAGCAGACAAGGTGCTTATACAGATACACACTTGTATATACACAAAATGCAGAGTGCAGACTCTTCATATATACATCTCATTACTCATCTGTAGATGGAGAGGAAGAGGATGCTCGGTGGGTTTCCGACAGAAGTTCATTCCTCTTCGAGATCGCCTCCGTCTGCTCCGCCCGAGAGCAATGTACGGTACCATGTTCTCAGGTTGAAATCTATGAAATTATGAGAGAATTGCATATCCATTCAAGATATATGGCAAGAATGATGAGATTCTGAAACATTTTGCTTCCAAAAAGCCGACGATTTAAAGATTCTGATATGATGTTCCAGATCTTTCTGCCCTCCTCCCGGGGCTCAGTATCGAAAGCTGAGGAGATGAGAGAGTGCTTGAGGTCATTGAGGCGAAACCTCAAAGTAAGAAACTTGTTCAAGAATCTGAATCTGTTCATAAGAACGCCATGATCGATGATCTCAAAACAAGAATCTGATTGTGTTTATTGTTTACCAAAGGATGAAGAACCCCGAGTCGCGAGAAGGGCATTCGAAACGCTTCTCGTGCTTGTGAGGAACGTCGCCAAGAATCCCGACGAGGAAAAATACAGAAGAATTCGTCTGGGCAACCCCTTGTTCCACGTAAGAACTCATATATATATATATATATATATATATATAAATATATATATACATACAGTCATATTTGAATCTCTATACGATCATATGATTTTCCTAACGAAACTCAGATTTGGATTTAAACAGGAGAGAGTGGGGAGATTCGGAGAGGGCATCGAGTTCTTGGAGCTATGCGGATTCACGAGACAGAAAGAGACCGGCGGCTTCTTGAATCTCCCGCGCGACCAAATCGACATTTCGCGTCTTCGAGAAGCCGCGTCTCAGTTGAATTCCGCCCTCACTAATCCCTTCTTTGGTGTTCTCTCTTCATGATATCCGTACTAAAATCAAGAACCAGATTTAATAGTCCTACTAAACTCAATTTTAATTACTTAAAATAGTTCATATATAAATTAATATTAATTTTATGCGTAATCCGAAGAAAATCATTTATTATCTTTTATTTTTACCATATTATTGATATTGAAATAAATTTAATAATTCATATAATGTCTATTTAATTTTATTTGTTTTGCTTTTGAGTCAGACTATTCGTGGGCCTTGTTATGGGCCTTGAGTCGAATTAGTATGGGCCCATGAATCTTGTAGCGTGTGGACCGAATAATCCCAGACCCACCCGACCCGGTTCTTCAACCTTGATTGCAAATTTGTAATCCCTTCTTTCGTTTTCTTCTTGAAGCCGAATTCTATCGAATTGGATTCCGCAGAGATAAACTGAGTTTTGCAAACAAACAAAAAAAATCCTTGAAATCGAGAGGATCGTTTTTGTTGAACTGTCTCCTTTGTTTCTGTTGTCTCTGATTAGGGTTTCTGGGTAACGTTGTTGTCTCTCTCTCTCTCATTTGAAGTTTGGCTGCTGTTTGCTTGCTTCAGACCAGAGATCTTTTCTCCGATTTGTTCTCTACCCTTTTTTTTTTTGCGAGTTAGGGTTTGGGTTTTAATCGTTATTTGTTAACCTGTGAGAGATATAAAGATGTATGCTGATCGATTGGAGGCTGACGCTACGAGCAGGAAGACGGTAAAGGATCGTCTCAACGGCGGTTCCGGCGACTTTTCTAGTCGCCACGGACAGGTCACCGGCAAGAGGTATTGTTTTCTCGCTATTCTGTTGTCCCAATTGGGAATTTCACTTGCTGTCCGAAGATATGGATCCCATTTGTCTTTCGTATATCGGTAGCTACATTGTTGCCCTTGCTCGAACTGTACAAACCTAAGCTTTGCGTACTGTTAGTTATGAACTCTTAACATAGAACCGGTTCCGTTGTTAGTAAAGAAAAGGGCTTTGCTCAGAAAGTTGGTTGCTTTCAGCTTTTCTGTGCAATTTTTCGTTGCAGTAACTGTATGATATTGTGGAATAGCTTGGGAATATCGATAAGTCTTCATCGAAGTTTTATTTGTGTCGATTAGGGTGGAGAGTTTGACCCCTTTTTTGATCCATTTGATGGTTTCAGACTTTCAGTAGACCTAGATCTGTGTGATTCGAGAAGGATTAATGCAAAAACTGGGTCTTGATGCTAGGAACCATAGCTTCCCATATTTGGAAAAGTAGTGATAGTCCTTCTCCTTCTGTACGCTTCGTTTGTTTGATCAAATCTCACTTAGTTCCCCTTCCCATTTGAGTTGTCATAACATGACAGTAGATTCAAATTTTGATCAACTGTTCCTTAATGTTTTCAGACAAAGGCAGGATGACAAATGGGAGCATGATCTTTTTGAGGAAGATGAACGTCGTCTGTCAAGTATGTGTTGGCTTGGCTGTGGCCTCTTCTCTTGCTTACAGGAATTAAGTTCCGCTATAATTCATTTCTGTATGTGATTGTTGACCCTGTCTTAATTACTTGCTAAGAAGGCAGAGCCGATCCCAGAGACCTTCGTCTGAAGCTCCAAAAGAAACAACATGGGTCGCAAAGTGGACAAGGGGCTGGTTCGGGTGTGAGGGATTTACGTGAGAAGCTATCCGGGACAATGAATCCGCAACCAAGGAACAGTGACCCACCGAAATCTAAAGGCGAGGCTGCTAGACCAGTCATGAAGAGTGTGGCAGTTGAAGCCCCTGGAGCAGAGACTAAACGAACTTCTGATCAATCTACAAGGAGGAAATCTCGGCAGACAGTATGAGTTTCACTTTTTCCTCATCTACGTTTTGGCATTAGATTTTTTCTACCGGGGGGAAATCATTTTTCTAAGTGGTGCAGAGAATAAGTCTGATATGTTGCTTTCAAATGCAATCTTGGTTTGGTATCTTTTGGTTCAGGCTGATGCCTCAGTGGAGAGCTTCTTGGAATCATTGGGTCTCGAGAAATATTCGATCAATTTTCAAGCGGAAGAAGTATGTAACTACTACTTGGTTAATACAGTCTTCTCTTGATGCATCTCTATGTATATGTACACACACACTCACTTTTTTTTCCACCTTCTTCTCCAGGTTGATACGGATGCTCTTCTACATATGACTGACGATGATCTCAAGGCTATGAGTATACCAATGGTAAGTTCCATTCCTATTTTTGCCGACCCTGCAAATTCGGGGGAATGGTCATCTGTTTTTGTTATTAGGCATGGAGTTAACGTTCTCGACTTCTTTGTTAACGAGCTGTGATTTGTTTCAGGGTCCGAGGAAGAAGATACTTCTGGCTTTAGCATCAAAACACTGATGCTGAAACAGAAGCTTAGTTTGGTTCCAATCAATGCCGACGGTCGGGTTCAAGGCTCAGCAGCATGGTTTCCCGGATTCACATTTTGCTTATTGTTGGGTATGATCCTGCGCTTTTACATTACCTCTTGATTCTCTCTGTCTTCTGGTCTGTGCCGTGAAAAGGTTGTCTGTTCTAAGCGACAAAACTAGCAGCATGAGTTGTAACTTGTAATCTTTAATACATTGAATCTGTGAAGGTTTAACGTATAAATCATATTTCCAGCTAGAAATTAATTGAATCTTATATGGTCGCTTATGTAAATTTAAGATAAATTATATGATTTGCGTTCTATGGCTTTGAACAATTAAAATTAGGTGGTGGGCCGCATATATTGTTTACGAAGTCTTCAATTTCGTTAATCATTGACCTGCTCATAATCTTTTACAAATTCTTTTTTTTTTTTTTGGATGTTTGACATTCACATGACAAGACGAGAGAAAATAATTAAATAATTTCCTATTTGCAACAAACCAGTGCATTTATTTTAGGGAGAATAGAATATGTCAATAGAGTAAAGAAAAATAAATAAAATGGCAATGTGTTATTACTGTTAACATCAAGGACATGTTATAATGATGATAGATTAATGCGTTAGAATTTCAAAAATTAAAAGTTTTTAATATAGAAGTATGTATAATTCGATATATTATTACAGAAAAAAATAACGTTTATGTATTAATCTGAATTGGTGGGTTCATACAGAGATTTTCCTTTTATTTTATTACATCCGAAAAAAAAAATGCATTAATTGGATTAGTTAGATAAGATCACGTATTGCATTTTTCTTAAAAAATTAATTTTAGAATGTAAGAGGATATTAACCTAAAAGATAAAATTAGCAATCATGTTATTTAATTACATTATGGTTTACTATAATTAATGGACTGTCATGGAAGCGGTCGTCGTCAGAAAGTCAATTCTTTTTTTAGGGTGGAACGAATATTATTATATGATATTTTGAATTCAAATCTGAATATTTTCATCATAGTTTGTTATATTGAAAATAATTTTTTAAACTATATAACAAAAGATGATGTACAAGGATTTTAAAGTGCAACTAATTATAGAGTTTATTCTAAATTTATTTTATCTTATAATATTCTATGTATTAGTGTATACATACAAAAATGTTGCATATATGGTACGGTGATTAGATATTTATCTGAATAATAATATAGGGAGAATTAATGTTGCAAACCTAAGTCCTAACCACGACATCCGCTGGCTGAGTCTAAGGCACCGCATCTTGTATTAACTTAAAATGACGATATAATATATTTTTAAAGCCCACATGTTAATACGTGGCGAAATAAAAATAAATAAATAATAAATAAAAAAGCCTACATGTTAATTACTTAAAAAAAGGGGGGGCAATTATTTGATTGCCGGAGCAGAAGATAACGGGAGCTTAACGGAGGTCCCATCAAAACAGGATAATTGCTTCTTCCACTCCTGACTCCATATGCTGATATAAACAATATAATAAATGTTTTTTTTTAATTATTAGAGTTAGGGGAAAATATGTTTGATTCAAATCAAATTAACATATCACAACTTAAATTTTTGGTGTTAATCTTTCGTCCTGCAAATTTCAAATTCCACGCTAGTTTTTTATATAAAAATTAACTAAATATTTTTACTAAAAAAAAAAAGACAGTTGATTCCAAATTTTGCATATTTACAAAATATGTTTGCAGTCTAATAGATATTTAGAAAAGAATAAATTATAATTAATTTATCAATCTCTTATCACTGTTTTGATGGAATCGAATGATCCCAAAACTTTAATAAATCCCGAATCCGAAACTATGTGATTGCATATCGAGATTGAAATAAACTATATCAAAGATTCAGAAACCGAACCATGAGTCATGATCGGAAGCGTAAACGGTTACAATCTTCTGATTTTTCGTATACCTTAATATCTTAATTCTTTGATGGGATAAGAATCAAGAACTTGTGGAGAATTCTTAAGATTTGATTTGCCGAAAAATCATAGGGTAAAGAATGAAGATTTGTGTACTATTTATGGCTATAAGAAAATAAAGAATGTATGAACATCCATTGACCAAAAAACCAAAAGTCATTTTTCTTCTCTATTAATCAATCAAATAAATGATTATTTAATTGATCAAGACCGGTGCACATTCAAAATATCTTCTATCTATATGAACCAAAACCAAACCAAACTCCACATTAGTCAGTACACATGAACTAGAGACCATAACCAAAATCCTTATTCGGTATTATCCAATTTAGCCTATTTTAAAATTAGACAATAACTGACCGGTATCTATGCATATATTAAACCCTATACTCGATTCAATACCGAAGTCCAATAGGTTAAAACAGAAACCCGATCACATTTAATTGGACTTAACCGACATGACAAACTTTATTCTAAATAATCATATACGATCCATGATAAAAGTATAAAAAACCTTACATGTTTTACACTTAAAGACAATCTACTATCATTTAGACCAATTTTTTATCGATGTTTATGGTATATATTAAAATTATATCGATAAGTTGTTAATTTTATAATAAACGTTGGTATATACAATGATACTAAAAACAACATGAATAATATAAAAAAATTCAAAATATGAAATATAGTTTATAGCATAAAAAAGGATCATTTTTCATTCTTCACTGTTCAAGGACCAAGATTGAAATACAGATTCAATTCAAACCTTGAATATTTTTTTTTCAGATATTAAAAAAATATTTTTGCTGGAATAGTGAAAGCCGTCTCTGGAAATAGAAAAGAGACCGAAGCGCGTTAACATATAACGGCCGCCGTCACGCGAAGAATTAAGTGTCGTGTTGAACGAGTCCGTCCTTCCTTATGGACTGTCAAAGAAATAACACGGCTGGTTTCAGGTTTTGCATATTTACAAGAAACCCACGAAGGATCGTCATCTCTCTCTCTCTCTCTCTCTCTCTCTGCATCGAAGGGAGAGATTCGTGTCGGAAAGTTTCGATTCTGCCCTTCTCTGAGCATCGAAGTTCTTGGTTTCTTGATTGAGATACAGTAATGGCGGTAAGAACTTCTTCTTCTTCTTCTTCTGGTTTCTATGTTTTTGGGTATCTGATTACAAAACAAAACGAACATGGAATCTGTCATTGGCAGATCCAGTCATGCGTTCTATATGTTCTCCTTAGTATAAATCTGTCCTAGAACACAAAAAGAAAAAATTGAAGTGGGTCAACGTCGAATGATCTCGATTCGGATCAAGCAAGAAATCCCAGTTTGATTCTGCGGAAATGCGGGTTTCTTGCATTCTAAGTTACAGTTTCCCTATCGATTGCTTCTCCATCAAGTAACGATAGACAGACGTTGCTTTTCTTACACTGTTTTCTTCAGACTTCATATCTTGTCAGAGGATAACATTTCGATCTCTTATGTTTGCTTTCAGAACCGTGCGCATGTTCCTAGATTCGGAGAATGGGATAAACAGACGGATGCTCCGTTCACGATAGTCTTCGACAACGCGAGGACGAAGAAAAAGAATCTGTACGACCCGAAAGAGAATCCCGAGCTGTCATCGAACCAGGGATCTCCTCCACGACCACCTCGTACTCCAAACCCTCGTAGACCCGAACCCGCGAACCAGATTCCAAAACAAAGATCGCAAGGCCATGGAAACAGCCGAGGAGAGGAGGATTTCAGACGGTCCGTGCCATCTCCAGCTCATAGCGATAAAAACACAAGAGTTAGGCCTCAGGCTCATCCAAGGGAACCCTACAACAATCACCCGTATGGCGGAAGAGTCATAAATCAGGCCGAGCCGAACAGACGGCCGCCTCCACAGCCGCAGCCGCAGCCGCAGCAGGGGAATCCTAGGGCGATACCTAACGTTAGAGGCCAAAAATATAAGGTATATATATGCAACATCTTTGCTCTACTCCCTTTCTCTTTATCTGTTACACGTGAGGTAGAATTGAAATTGAAATTTAACATGTTTGGATAAACTGCCTTCGGAATCTGATTAGGAGAATCAGAAACATTGTTTCATGACCCAATTGTTTTTTTCTCAAGAACCTGATAAAATGTCTGATTTTTCTGATCCCAAAACACTTTCACTTGATCATTGATCTTCGCCCTTTTGGTGTTTTTCCTCGAAGCCACGGGCGATCCCACCATTTCCCGGGCAAGGAGGGAATTCGAACTTCGACCATATGAGTTACACTCACATTTTCGACCAAGTGAGAGAAGAAAGGAACGTTCAAGAAGGCGAGAGGAGGCCGATTGGCGGTGGAAACGCTCCCGTCAAACACCATAACCAGTCTTCTCCTGAAAGCCCTAAGGTGTGTCAATGCACAATTTCACATACCCTTTTCTTTACAGCCGATAATGCTTCATTCTTTTTGCAAATTGCGATTTGGAACGCTGTTTTTCGCTTCTGCGTTTCAATCGCAAAACTCATCCAAACTGTTTTGATATATCTGCTGTTACACATCTACTGAATTAAGACCAATATTCTCCTGATAATCCCAATAAGGTTTGTCATGCACAATTCACATATACCCTTTTCCTTAAACCCGGTCTTTCGTCCATTGCAAGTTGCGTTTTGGAACGCGGTTTTTGGCTTCTGCGTTTTAGCCGCGAAACTCGTCCAAACGCTTAACTCTGAAGTCGGTTTTATTCTAAACTGTGTATATATCATGCTTCACTTTCAAGGGTTGCTGCTTTCCATGGAGCCGAAAGGGAAAATACTGAAGACTTTGTGTGTGTGTGTGTGTATGTATATATACATATATATATATATATATGTATATATGTATATATGTATATATATGCACGCTTAGCTCATCAACAGGAGCTTTCAACTCTTTCATTCTAATGGGTGTTTTTGAATTCTTTTGCTCTGTGTTTGTGTTCTTTGGAGATTTTTTTTTAATGTAAAGTTGATGTGATTCTATATAAATTGGATGTGTTTCTTTTTCTTGGGCTGAAAACAATTCAACCTTCTATTATATAATTAATGCATTTTTTCAATGATTTTAATAGTTATTTTTTAGATATTTAATATCCAAGTTTTTGTTATTGAATATCGAATAAATAATATTTGAAATTTCGTCATTATTATCACTGGGGGCAAAATTTTGACGAAAAACCAATAAAATTCGAAGCGAAAATGGAATTCAAACCGAAAATCAATCACAAGACTACAAGGAAACAGAATGCTGTTTCCACCTGAAATAGTAAAACATCACGGTGTTTTTGGTTATATAGGAAACCGAAGAGTCTTTTGATACGGTGCCGTTTTTTATCTCGAATTTCCTACCGTTGCGATTGCGCCACGTGTACGAAGCCCAAGCCACAGCGACTGCATGCCTCTTACGGACTCAAATTCGCCTCTCTCGGATTTTGTGTTCCGCTCCCTTGGTGAAGATCCCGCAACTATATAAACCCTGAGAGAGGGGGAGAGTCGAACGGCTTCTTCTTACCTCTGTAGATATTTTTCTTCCAACTTTTCGTTTCACAGAGAGATTCACGAACGAGCTTGATCGACGTGGTCTTTCGGTTTCAGAGGTACGATCTTGGATTCTATGTCCTAATCCTTCAATCTCATGGACCATCGTTTATGAACTGAAGTGATTGGCTGTGATCTGTTTACTTTCGTTCTCTACCGATTATTTTCGTCTGAATTTTACTGGGTCATTTGGAAATTTGGCCGGTTGATTCTTTTTCCTGTGTCTGAAATTGGGCTTCTGTTGAAGTTTAAGATTTTGATCAACCTTTTACTGTTTTGTTAGTCATAGCACGATCTCTTTGATATCTGATGAAAGTTTATTGCTTGAGTTTGATGGGGAATTTTTTTTCTCCCATCTCTTAAACTTGCTTGCTGCTGGGAATTCCTCATTGATTGTCGACCCTGAAACTTGCAAGGCACAAGGACTGGCTATGGATACTCAGGGGGGGAGGGGAGTTCGTGGGCATAGACGGAGGAAGGCGGTAATTGATTTGAATGCATTGCCGACTGAAACCCGAATTCAAGAAGGGACCTCCAACTCTGGAAATGCTCGAGGGATTACTGTTGGTAACAATCCAGGGGAATCCGCACCTGTTCCTTCTCCCCCTCCTCCTACTGTTGATGTTGTTTCTATCGATGAAGATGTTGTTGAATCGTCTGCAAGCGCTTTTGCTGAAGTGTGCTCTCTATTTTTTCCGTCTTTTACCTTCCTTTAGCTATGGATAAGCTTTGTTTTGTTTAGGTATCTGCTGATGTTGTTTCATTCTGATTTCGTTTCAGGCGAAAAACAAATCAAGAGGTGCACGCCAGAGGCCTGTGATGATTGATGTAGACTCAGGTAAATTTTGAGTCTTTGTTGCATTGTCTTAGAGATTTTCAAGGCTAGATTTATCTGTTCTGTTGTGAAATTTGAAATGGACAAGAAATCTATTGAGCAGTATTTTGTCACATATATATATACATTCGGGGGAATTAAATAGTATATGTGCATGACATATGGGATGATAGATGGATCATTTGAGCTTGGTTGGTTTTGCTGTGTGTTTATTTTTCTTGCGATTTTTTGAAATAGCTCTTTAGAAATTTTGCACATATCAACAATGTTTGCTTGCTTACTTTGGATGGTATGATTGCAGGTTGTACGAGTGGAATGCCTGCCAACATCAGCAACAAGCGGAGAATGGTTCCTCCTAATCAACAAGCCGTTGATCGTGATGATGTGGTCGTGCTTGCGGCGCCAGAAGTAAGAGTCGTTTAGATTTCTTATTTTTCAATTTCTGATTGCGTTTATCATAGGTGACTGTTTAATATTTGGACTGACACTCAAATACCTTGTGTTTTTCTTGTTCCGGGGGATTCTGTTTCAAAGCCCCAGCCACCTCAAGAGGAGCCAAAGTTTACGTGTCCGATTTGTATGAGCCCATTTACTCAGGAGACGTCAACAAAGTGCGGCCATATTTTTTGCAAGGAATGTATTAGGACGGCAATATCTAGCCAGCATAAATGCCCTACTTGTAGGAAAAAGGTTCTTGCCAGAGATTTAATCCGTGTGTTCCTTCCAGCAACCAGATGAGGAGTAGAGAGAACTTCATCACCAACCACCATGTAAGTCTGCTTAATTGAATTTGTTCTACTACTGGAGTCTAAGAATTGCTAGCAGCTCTGTGTATCTATCTACAAGTATGATCCTTTATTAAAGCTAAATTGCCCATTTTCCCCCTCTTGTTGGCAGGTTTAGTGGTCTAATTCCCATATTGATTTTGGAACAAGGAGGGGTTTCGAAAAGAGGTGTCTTTTTTTTCTTTGTATTTGGACAATTGTTGTGTTCTGGAAGTGTGATAGTGTCGGCAACTCCTCCTAGTTTATTGTTCTATGTAATTTAGATTGGTTCAAACCTCTCACCCTGAAGCATTTCAGACACCCTTATCAGCATGAGCCTCAAGTGTGTGCAGTTCCTGTCTTGTGCTTATTGTGACAGTGTATGTTCTATCATCATTTCCTTTACGCATGTTTGATCCATAGTTTCTGTTTCTTTGATTTCGATTGTTCTGATGGGTATTCATGGTAAAACCATAGGTACGTTATAAGTAAAATCTCTTCAAGAACATCCTTCACTCTGTCTTTAACCATGTAATACAGAAATGGGTCTTATGCACTTAGAAACTTGCCTGTAACACGGACATGAGCTTATAACCAACAATTTCTATGGTCTGTAAGTAAAAAAAAAGAATGTTTTGTGATGTAGCTTTTGGAACTGGGAACTACAATTCCGGATCCTATCTCGAAATGCCCCTGTTCAGACTCTGTGTTCCCTATCTGTTGCCGTGTTTACTTCTATCTGTCTGCACAAAACTTGTGATAATATTGCACAAGAGTTTCAAGGCATCTAACCTAAGCAAACATGTCTTTTCTTCTTTTATGGTGTTGCTGTTTCTTCCTCGTTTGTGTCGGTTTCGTATTAGATTGGATCAGAACATCCATCTTGGTGAAGAGTTAACAGCCCTAACCAGAGGTTTGTGCATCTGCGGCTCTGAACTGTTACGTTTCTTCATGATCGATGAGACGGTTGGACTGTAGTAGTCATTACTCCTCTGTGAAGTTGCAGCTTGTGAATACACTTTCTTCCCATGGACAAAGCTTCCTTGTTTCTCCATCATAACTCTTCGAGGACTCGAGCTCTTCCAAGGAGTCTCCCATCTGTTGTAGCTCACACAGCTTTGGCTTCTTTGGACAGGCTGATGAAACTTGTCCTGTCTCGGAGGGGTCGGGTAGTTGCGGCTCTCGGCTGTTTCTGCAGAATACATGGTCTCCTCTTCACTGCCATACCCATTATTGTAATATGCTTCAGAAGCTTCTACTGGTGATGAACTTGAGATGACCTCGCTCTGGACACCGTTTACTGAACCCGTTGAAGCAACCTGATCATCTGAGTCCTCGGATGTGATCTCAGCCTCTCTATCTTCGTTTCGATCTTCCTCTGCCAGATTCTTCGAAGGAAGTTGCTCATTGAAAGCCCTGTTCTGTTCTGAAGAGTTAAGCTGAGGGCATATTCCTGGCTGAGAAGGAAAGTTTGTAACTTTAGCGATCCGTGGAGGGAAGTTGATGTCCAAATGCTGTATCGGACCCGTCTCTTTCTGTCTGAGAGGGCACGATATCATCTTCGGTGATTCGTATATTTCTGGGGTCGGGATACCGGGCTCGTGCCCCTTGGCTAGTGGATTGGGTTTTGAGGTTTTCTCTTTCTCTTCCTCGTTAGTGTTGGCAGCTGTAACAGAAGAGCCCGGACCAGTAGACTGATCCCTCGTCTTGGATGAAGGCGGTGTTCCAGCATTGTCATCATCAGCATCAGTCGGTTTGAAAACACGACGCCTGGTAAAGGAAGGGCAAGAGTGGTCGCTCTTCTGACCCGATGACATCAACCTGAGGAGCGGCAACCTGGGTTTCGTATGTTCATCAAGACTGCCTTCCCAGTGCTGATTCAGCCAGTCACCGATCACTGGTATCGGGATACCAAACTGCATCAAGGTCTTATTATCTTTCTTCCTAGAGGAAGACGATGATAATGATGATGATGAATTCGAGTTTGGTGATGTGGCCAGTTTTCTCGGGTCACAGATCATGAAAGCGAGATTCCCTTGGCCATCGAATCCAGCTGACCCAGGACTCCAGATCATTTCATCGGTGGACAGTTTAACGAGATTATCTGTGGCTACTACCAACTTTCCCTCACCAATCTTCAGTTCATTCTGTGAAGTATAGCCCAAGAGGTAAACCACATTTCCCAGTTCCAGATTCGGCTTAGGACATGTCTTCAAGTAATGCGGCTGCTGGTTCTGGGAAACCGAGTGGCCGCCATCAACAGGGTCCAAACCAACAATGGTGAGATCGAGAATGGAACTGGTGATGAAAAACCTGCGGAAATGGCAGAGAACAACACTGTCTTGGTGATTCTCAAACAATCTTTTCAGAAACAAGACTGGGAAGAATCTTGCAAGAGATCTAATAACATAATCCAGGAACAAGAGTAGAGCTTAAATTATCATGGGCCAACCAAAGGGAACAGTAACAGCATTCGAAGAAAGTCCTGTAATAACTCCGGTGTACAGATCAGAGAAAGAGATGATAAACATGGCATATTTCAAATGGAGGGGGATCCATCTATTCATATTATATATCATGTCTTGTCTTCTTGGAAAATCCCTGACATCATCTTTCCGGAAATTGCTGACAAAATTCCACTAAGACTTGCCAAATTCTGGTAGATCATGTACCATTACAGACAACATAATTAGAAAGTCCTTGTGTTAACCTCGTCCTTTCGGTGTCTCGACAAAAAGGACCTACGCAGTTTTCTCACAGCTCCAAATCAAAATTCCTCCACATTTCACAACCGACGACACGAAAAAGATATCAAACTAAATCAATTGCAACAGTTCAAACTATAGGAAGATTGGGAACCTGTGAGGGAATACAGCAGCAGCGACGCCGTTTTGGAGGCGGATCTCGGCCGACTCCGCGGCGGAGACGGAGGGGAGGTTGAGGTGAGTAGTGAGGAGGAGATTCCGGTGGATGAGGAATCCGGTTCCTTTGGAAAACCCATTAGCTCCGGCGACGGTGATTCTCGCCATCGCCGGAGCCTTGCCGGAGAAAATGGAAGCTTTCATCTTCTCGCTCTTGCCCACTCCCTTGCAGAAACACAACGAGTGCGTTATCACTCTCATTCTCTCTCTCTCCCTCTTTCGAATTCGCATTATTTGCTCAGATGGGTTCGTCCAAATTCCTTTCTTTGCTTCCGGGTTTCGAATGTTTGGGGCGTTGGATCTGAAAAGGAAGAAAATTTGCGCGAAATGTCGATGGTGATGAGATGATGGGTATACATACAGAAATAAAGATGCGAACTTTATGCGGGATTTTTCGCTGAGAAAGAAGAAGAAAATCAGAGAGGTGATGAAAGAGAGAGAGAGAGGCCGAAACTGAGGAAAGAGACGAAGGGATCGCGAAGTGAGCAAAAGCGATGCTGGGTTTCTCCGGTTTATTTCATGACAAGAATTTCAAAATAATTTAACACTCGTATGTTCCTTTCGTCAAGAGTGTGTAAGAACGGGATAACCAAGAGACATTCAAAGATGACAGAGAGGTGTCGAGGGATGTACCATGTGATGAACATGGACCATACACTTGTCATGATTAGTGATTTTGGTTATGTTTTAGAATTTGTTGAAAGAATTAGTCAGGAAAAAAACTTTGAATTTTACTAATTTGTTATTTAATTACGAATTAGTGGGTTTCAACACATATTTTCAATTGTAAAATATTGTAAAAAAAAATAAAATTCAAGAGTACATTGTGCTGATGCCGACATCTTTTCCGGCTCTATGCCCCTTTACTCTTTGCAAGAGATGCGTTTCTAGATGTCACAATGAAGCCAACATCTTTCTTGTCAACCAAGAAACCACAGAAGAAAGAAGAGGGGCCAACACCAAGAACAATGAAACTGCAGATAGACATAAATCTTTGTCATAGACAAAGGAAACAGATTATGGGTTGTTCTTACAAGCTACCAAACTGGTTAGAAGAGAGATTAACCGTTAAACGAGTGAATTCCGGGGGGAAAAGTATACAGGAACTTGTCAATCCGATCCAATATCCACCCCTTTGTGCTTTAGGAAGTCTTTAGCCTCTGCTATATCCTGCAAATGAAGCAACTTCAGGACCGATGAGCAAAATAAAAACTTATTAACCACCGCAACGATATGGTGAAAACAAATTGTATGCTAATTCGAAACTATAATTTCATTGACCGTTATGGGAAGAGAATAGAAGAACAATCAAATGGCATGAGGCCGGGTTTTTGTTCCAAATACAAAAAGCTTCTCATGATAAAGAATCTGAAGTTTGAATTTGATACCTGCTGCAAGAGAACCGCTTCTTGGGGACAAGTAGGAAACTGCATCAGACCCATTCCAACCATTAATAGACCATAGCATCCGAGGGAGACTATGAAGTAGATTGGCAGCTGGAAAAGAGGGCAAAGCACCAGAAACGCTGCTCGATTAGGACAACATTTGCTAACTGAGATTCTGAGAATAACGATAAAGGAAGGAGAGGAACCCCGTTACTAACCAACCACGTATGGCTTCGGGGAATAATTGCAGCCTGTAATAGGCTGATCCAGCAGGCAGATATAGCCACCAAGAGGCTCAAGATCTTTACCGCATGCTTCATCGGCCTTAAAGCAAGAAATTCTCTGCCAAGTTCTGCGAGACATTTTTTTACAAAAGGTAAGCATTGGAGCATAATACGACATCAATACACTCTTCTACAAGTTGCAGATCATGTACAAGACATCTCTCAATTTGCTACCGGAAAGGAGAGCTAAAACAATGGAGTTTTCAGCCCCATACTGCAAAAATTTCTCAAACACCACCAGCAAACAATTCTCAAACCCAAAATATCGCATGATCTGACATGCGATCTTCAGTAACTCGAAAATCAATAATCTCAAAAGTTGTCCATGTAGTTATGCAAGTAAAATTATCGAGCAAAACCCGAAATTCTCCATGAAGTTCTAAAAATGAGATCAGATGCCATCAGATGGGATATGGAAATGAATGACTTCTCACAGTTCCTTTCAGATTACATCATTCAATCTTCAGGAACTCAAAGCCCTTGCGCAAAATTTCCCAAACATCATATGGCGGCTTTAGGCATCAAAAATCCACAGAACAAACCAGACATAAAAATCAGAGATCATCCGAAGAAATGCAAGAATCGACACAAAATTTGACGAGAAAATCCGACCAAGCCAATGTTTTTCAAGTCACCGGATAAGTTACGCGTATCAAACAAGAAAATCTAATCGCGGGTAAACTAAGAAATCAAACAAATGCTCTAACATAGTTGAAGGATGCACCTACCAAATCTCGCCTTTTTCTTTTCTCTTCCTGAACACTCGAAGCTTTCTCTCGTTAGGGTTTAATAAGTTCAGATCGGTTTTTCCTCCGCTTGGATTTGGATATCCATCTCGGGAAGGGTATTGTTGTCTTTTCATTTTGTTTTATCTCTATCGGGAACAAATATATCCTGGCCTGGGATAAGACAATCCCCACTCGTTTACTCACGGTTAAGAGATTACACCAAACTGGAATACGAATTTCCGCACGAGGCCAAGACAGCAATAAGACAAAAAAAAAAAAAAAGGGGAAAAGATTCTATTTCTCTATTTCCTCATTAATTTACAAAATTAATGCAAAATCCATCCAACTGATACAAGAGGATCAAAACTTGCGTGCAGAACAGATTATCCACACATCCTTATGACAAAACCTCGTTCGTCTCCCGTAAGAAACTCCCCCTCAAATATCCTGAGTGTTTCAGACATATATTACCTAAGCGTTACTCCTTTGACTCTCTCTCTCTCTCAGGTAGCTGTTAAATGGCACTGAAACCAGGTCCCCCCATTCCACATACTCGCTTCAGGACCCATGATTCAGAAGCTTGTCAGGCCGCCAATGCAGCAGAGGCCTTCATTCAGCTGCTATATCAGCCTCTCCAATAGACCGTGGAAGCTTTAAGAGAGCAAAAACCATGGCAATGCCGTCGCGTTGTGGTGAAGGATCATGAGAATGGAGTCTAACTAGAATGGAACGACGTATGGAAGAGCCACCGTGTCTGCAGATTCTATTCTAAAAGCTTGGTCCCATACTTGCCGTGTCTCATCTGTTCTTGGTTTCTTTAACTTCACCGTCGAGTCGCCATAGAGCCATTCTTGATCGTCAAACTGAGTCAGCTCCTCCCTTTCGGGTACCTTAAGTACCTGATTCAGATACTTTAAGTCGGGATGCGGCAGTTTAACTGATGCTTCACCATTTCTTCCTTTGACTTTCACTTCCCCTCTTTCTTCAGCCAAAGAATTCGGCGGAACAATTTTCGGTTTTTGAGTACCGCTAAAACCATTAACTCTGTGCTCCTTCACATTTGACTTGCAACTTGTTCCTTGCAGCGCAGAAGCAGACTTTTGAGGAGTTTTGGTTTCAACAGATTTCAGCTCAGGCCCAGGCTTTGGATGAGTTTTGGTTTCCTCAGATTGTAGCCCAGTTCTGGGTGTTCCCAACTTTCTTCCATTTTCCACAGCTAATGATACAGGAGAAGCAACCGGCCTCTGTAACTTGTTTGGTCTGTTGGATCCATTCTCTGCATAAGAATTAAAAAGCTAGGGTTAAAAGGCTTAAACGAGAGAGAGTATCAGCATATACTGATATACATATACACCTTTAGAAACATGTCGAAGTAAAAATCAACATATAATTAGATATTCACATGAAGGAATTAAATGATTTTCTGAGAGGAAGTGACCTACCATGATTGGACTCAAAAGGATTAAGATGGTTTTAAGTACTTAACCATCAATGATATACTATGGTTGTGTATTACCCATATGGCAAACACACCTATATTATGTCCCCATTCACCAGACAAAGAATTGGTACAGGGAAGGACTCACCATACAAGAATCCATTTCTCTCGAGATCCTTCCGTTTGCCAAGATTTCCCTCACCAGTAAGATTCTTGTTGCTCGCCCTAAAAAGGTCAGGTGGTTTACTATTCCTATTATCCACGGCATCTTTATCCCTCTCTTTCAACCTGGGCCCCTCTATAGATTTTGGTTTCTCCTGACCAATTCTGTTTGTCACCTCAGCTTTCTCTTGTTTCCTCTCTTTGTCTGTGTCTCTACCCTTGGGTTCAGCTTTCTTTAACCCTTCTTTATCTCTTGGTTTATCACTCTTAATCACACTTCCCTTGTGTTGATTCTTCTCCACAGATTCCATTTGCTTCTCCTGATCTTTTTTTCTCTCCACCGGTTTAACCATACCCTCTGCTTTTTTCTGATCTGAGCCAAATGACACTCGTGGAACAACATTTTCAGCACTTTTTGCCACAGCAAGGTTTCTTTGGGGATGGATTCTCTTATCATTATCTATCCTATGGTTGGTTTCTTGAACTGAGTAGGGACTGTTGTTCAACTTGTTCTCAACCACGTTTCCTGTCAACCCGGCATTTATTTGATCAGGGATTTTAGTCTTTTGTCCTCCCTGACTTCCCATTGCTGCTTCTCCATCTCTGATCCTTCGTGCCAAGTCCTGCACAAACCTAGAATCCCCATTACTATTATTCTGCAAGGTATTTGTTACAAGTTTCTCTGTTTCCCTGGTGTCCGTCAGAACCTCAGTCTTCTTCTCCTCCCAAGTTCTGCTTTTTTCTTTATCCCTATCTTTGTCTTTACCATCTTTATGTTTCTCCTTTTTCTCCTTCCTTTCCTTGTGTTTGTCTTTGCTTCTTTCTCTATCCTTTTTCTCTCTACCATCTTTCTTTTCTTTGTCCTTCTTATCCTTCTTCTGCTTTTTCTCCTTGTGCTTCTCCTGCGGGTAACACCCAGAGAGAAACAGATACATATAAGTGAAGAACACAATATATACATATATATAGAAGTCTTTCATTTCAAAGCACTTGATGCTACTAAGCAGTCTATTAATCCTTTTTCTATATGCAATCAATATGGAGAACGGAACAGCTTCCAAACTAATGTGCTCATGCATAAAAAAACCACAATCAATCACCTTGACAAATCTTCTCTAGGGTAAACAAACATAAGGTTATAGCACAAAGACAAAATAAACAAATTCTTCGAAGACATTCATCAATTCTCGCATCCAAGCCATGTATATGCTAAAGGGTACTTCGCCTAATTCAGGAACTTTATCCAAGATCCGGTCAGTGCAACATCTAGCCACTGATTCTTACGGTCTTGGTCACCTATTTTTGCAGTGTGAAATAAATCCACACAAATAAGCGACAATTATCCCTGTCTCTCAAGATTGGTGAAGAAATCACAAATGTGACTCGACAAGGCTAATGAGTCATCCAAAACCCTGATGCCGATGATCTAAGAAATCAAAGATCTAGCATCCAAAACGACCTTCAGCAGTAACACCTATTCACTTCAACAAGTCTACCCCTCTACATTTAAATTAATAAAAGATCTTGCATGGCACCCTGCTGTGCACTACATATACTAGTACAAAGGTAGGTACAGTACTCATTTTAAAGACAAAAAGTATAACTCCAAAGATTCTTCACATACTAATGCCAATCTATTAGATGTGATGACTCTCTCATAAGATGTAACCAAGTCAATATTTCTAGTCTTGCTTAGTTAGACAATGTACTGAGTACGTTCAAAGATCCGGATGACAATACAAAAGATCCCACAAGCCAGCCAATTGGGCATTCTTCACAACTAGATAAAAGAATTCAAAGATACTCTGTAAGTTTTTCTCCAACTGTTCTCAAAACCAAGAGACGGGCCGTTCATTAACTCAGTGCTCTAGTCACCCTCAAGAAAATGAAGCAACTCGAAACACAATACCCTACAGTATGACCTTAGAAACACCACATAGTCAATGCTAAGAGTTAACATGTGAACCTTTGTTAGGTCTGCTTCATCGGTTTTAATCTTCTTCTCATATCCTGGAGGTGGAAATGGGAAACAACGAGACATGGCACTTTTTTGTGGGAACTGTCAAGTGGTATAGTTTCACCACCGAAAAAACAAGTCTCCTACTTTGAACTCCCTTGTTCCTTTATCCCAACACCTGACCAGATCAGAGTCTATGATCCATTCCACCATATCCAAATCGCTTCCAGCTGAAAAAATTAACTTTGATCTCCAAGAATCACCTCCCGACAACGAATTCTGGATGCCCGGATCCTAGATACTCTTAAATAAGCCGTTTACAACATGGAACCCCAATGCAGGTTCAACTCTCAGGGAATACGACCTGCCAAGGCATCAGCAGAAACCGATATCAGAACCATTTTTTCCGTACCATAAGCATCTGTAGCTCACGTTAACAAAGGTTTGGGGGAAAGAAAGATTCATATCAACGTCTCATATCACCTTGCTTGATCAAAATACAAACTGAACTTGCGAATCAACAAATACACTGAATCTTGTTCCGCGGCAATTCAATCCCACACTATCTATTTACAGTCCTTAATCTCCGAAAGTTAAGCCTAATAGTATAAAAACCGCAATTAGGGCCGATTCCAGGGGCGATCCAATCAAACCCTAAAAAATCAATTAAAAAGGAAACTGTCAGGCAAATCACCGGCTCCAAGAAATTCGCGAGGAGCATACACTAGGAACTGTTAACCAATTCAGCTCGACAGGGGAATCTACAAGAAAAACGATGTTTTTCCGAAAACCCAAATAGCAAGACGTAAATCAGCTGAGAGTATCGGCGGATCAAATTTCAAAAATTCGCTCCAGAATTTTGGTATTTAGCTGGAAAGCAACAGAAATCAAGGGGTTTTGCTGAAAACAGCTTCGGTCAATCGAAAATCATATCTCAGAAAGAAACCGATTCGAAGATCTCGGAGAGAGAACAAGAAGGAGACGAATCGAAGGAAGTGAGAAACCTCTTCCCATCTCCATGTGTTGGCATACGGGTTATGCCTTCTCTTTCTGTCTGTGTGTGTATATATATATATGTATATCTGTAACGTTCTTTCTTATGTAAAGTTACGGGCTTTCTTGTTGGGTTGGTTCTTGATGATGAGAAGAAGAAACTCTCTCTCTCCTCTTCAAACCCCAGCCAAGGAAAGAGAGAACTCGGCCATCGAACGGCAAAAGGGTATTTATAACGGGAGAGGGAGGAGAGAGTGACACGTGTCAATCCGCATCAGAATCAGAATGTATCCTTCGTTTTACTTCGATGGCATTTTGGTAACTTTTAACTTTGATACAAAGCCTTTTCTGCCCAATCAACGGGTCGGGTCGGGTCGAGATTTTAGGGTATGATCCTTGATTCCTTGAATCCGAACATCAAATATTCGGATATTTGTAATATCCTGAGTATATCAAATAAATATTCTAATGATAAGTTTATTAATATTAACAAAACATAAGAGATAATTTCGTCTCTTATAGCATCCTCATAAAAAAAATATAAAACCCGAACCCGAATTCGAATCCATTTAGTTGATATTTTCTTCAAATATCCATCCCATCATTAGATTTAAAAAAAATCCAAAATTTACAACAACAACCACAAGGCATTAATTTTAAATTTATTTAATATTGACCAGCCATTTGGTTATATGCATTCGGTTGGGATCGATTATTCGGTTATTAACCAAATAAGACACCGCAGTCAGGCAGAACTCATAAACTAATGTATCTGCAGATGTAATAAACACAAACTGAAGATATTATTATGTACAAACTACAAAACAATGCAACCGCCCTTTCCCATTTATAGTTAGATACTGCAATTTTTCACATACAGGAAGAAGATTTAGAAGATGGGTTTTCCTCTGCGATTTGCAAACCGGTCAACCACTTCCATAACCTCACCGCAATCACCAGCTCCATCTCCCTTTATCAGAAACTCTACATACGGTAACGTTTCATTCGAGCTTACAAGCTCAGTGACCAGCTCTCGTGCAGATTCGACCTCCCCTTCCTTCTGAAGCCCTTGAATCACTGAGCTGAAGGATCTAAAACTCGGAGTGAACCCGGTTTTGAGAACATCAGTCATCAGTTTCAGACAGTCGGTGTAGTTCTTTGATCTGCAGTAAGACTCTATGACTGTGTCCACGGCCTTATCGGGGAAAATCCCGCGTTTGAGCAGAGTTTGGATCAGCTCGATGGATTCATCCGCTCTTACCTAAGCGTTACTCCTTTGACTCTCTCTCTCTCTCAGGTAGCTGTTAAATGGCACTGAAACCAGGTCCCCCCATTCCACATACTCGCTTCAGGACCCATGATTCAGAAGCTTGTCAGGCCGCCCA